CCAGGACAGAGCCCCGGGACACTCCACTAACAACAGAGGCCCCAGGACAGAGCCCCGGGGCACTCCACTAACAACAGAGGCCCCAGGACAGAGCCCCGGGACACTCCACTAACAACACAGACCCCAGGACAGAGCCCCGGGGCACTCCACTAACAACACAGGTCCCAGGACAGAGCCCCGGGGCACTCCACTAACAACAGAGGCCCAGAACAGAGCCCCGGGGCACTCCACTAACAACAGAGGCCCCAGGACAGAGCCCCGGGACACTCCACTAACAACAGATGCCCCAGGACAGAGCCCCGGGACACTCCACTAACAACAGAGGCTCCAGGACAGAGCCCCGGGGCACTCCACTAACAACAGAGGCTCCAGGACAGAGCCCCGGGGCACTCCACTAACAACACAGGTCCCAGGACAGAGCCCCGGGGCACTCCACTAACAACAGAGGTCCCAGGACAGAGTCCCGAGGCCCTCCACTAACAACGGGTTCTTACTGAGCTCGGTCACTCCATATACACTAACTCAAATTTCGTTGAAAGAACCAGGTTCAGGTCCATCTTCAAAAACCCCAACATCGTTGGGTTTTTCTACTCCAAATTTGAAAACTGTAGATTAGAAAAATTGGGTTTCCAGTTTCTACGCCAATCCTCGTGAGGCTGAGTGGTAAAGGCTTTGTTAAATTCCAAGAATACAATGTTGCAATCTTTTCCGATATCGTAGGAAATGTACTTGAAATACACTGGGAAGACCTGAGCGTTGATTGTCCAGACACCAGCGGCTCGTAGACCAGCCCAGTTGTGAAGCCTTTGTTAAGGGGCTTTAATGGGGCTTTTAAGATGTAAACCATTGTTAGGTGGTGGTCCACTCCGGTGAAAATAACAGCTGGACCTGGACCTCCCCACTGGAGGTAAGACCACAGTGGTATTGATCACTCAACCACAGTGGTATTGACCACTCAACCACAGTGGTATTGATCACTCAACCACAGTGGTATTGACCACTCAACCACAGTGGTATTGACCACTCAACCACAGTGGTATTGATCACTCAACCACAGTGGTATTGACCACTCAACCACAGTGGTATTGACCACTCAACCACAGTGGTATTGATCACTCAACCACAGTGGTATTGACCACTCAACCACAGTGGTATTGACCACTCAACCACAGTGGTATTGACCACTCAACCACAGTGGTATTGACCACTCAACCACAGTGGTATTGACCACTCAACCACAGTGGTATTGATCACTCAACCACAGTGGTATTGACCACTCAACCACAGTGGTATTGACCACTCAACCACAGGGGTATTGATCACTCAACCACAGTGGTATTGACCACTCAACCACAGTGGTATTGACCACTCAACCACAGTGGTATTGACCACTCAACCACAGTGGTATTGACCACTCAACCAGAGAGGGTGATGGTGGTGGTCCACAACAGGCAGGACATGTAACCTGTTCTACATAGAGTGTACACTGTGAATATGGTGCAGTTACCTTAATTTACCCGAGGGCCACTCAAACTAGTGGACTCGACGAGGACAGGAAGCCGGCGGCTTGTCAAATGTCCTCCCATTTGCCTTGAGGATTATTTCCAATTGGACTTTAAAATTTAACAAGAGTTTTGGCATGTTGGGCTTCGGCGGGTAGGCGGTTCCATGGGTTGATAACCCTGTGGGTGAAGGATCTCTGGTTCCCTCTGTGTGGTTGAGTACTCACTAACCAACTGACCAATAAGACACAGACGCATCAAAGAGACAAAGATCGCTACTTGAGACGCAAGAGCAAAAGAGTTGTGAGCAAGTGAGAGAATCGCTCACAAATGAGAGGGTTATCTACTGTCTTTATAGTAAACATGATCAGAAGACGTGTAAATAGTCGTTGTAATAAAGTACTGTTGGTTGAAGCGCCAGAGTTAAGAGCTGGCACTTGGCCCTACCAGCTTGTGTGGTACATGTGTGGTGGTGGAGCAGTTTTTTTTTCTACCACAGACGTGGCCACACATTTACAATGCTAACCAGCATATATACATTTTCTTTTGCGGCATGATCTGACCTGACACACAGGAGGTACAGTGGTTGATGTGCTCCACACTGTGTTGTGATCACCTGTGTCCCCACAACCCCGGGGTTGTTAGTGGCACCATGTTGTTAGTGGCACCATGTTGTTAGTGGCACCTTGTTGTTAGTGGCACCATGTTGTTAGTGGCACCTTGTTGTTAGTGGCACCATGTTGTTAGTGGCACCATGTTGTTAGTGGCACCATGTTGTTAGTGGCACCATGTTGTTAGTGGCACCATTTGTTGTTAGTGGCACCATGTTGTTAGTGGCACCATGTTGTTAGTGGCACCATGTTGTTAGTGGCACCATGTTGTTAGTGGCACCATGTTGTTAGTGGCACCATGTTGTTAGTGGCACCTTGTTGTTAGTGGCACCATGTTGTTAGTGGCACCATGTTGTTAGTGGCACCATGTTGTTAGTGGCACCATGTTGTTAGTGGCACCTTGTTGTTAGTGGCACCTTGTTGTTAGTGGCACCATGTTGTTAGTGGCACCATGTTGTTAGTGGCACCTTGTTGTTAGTGGCACCATGTTGTTAGTGGCACCATGTTGTTAGTGGCACCATGTTGTTAGTGGCACCATGTTGTTAGTGGCACCATGTTGTTAGTGGCACTATGTTGTAGTGAGCACAAGCACGTCCTTGGACGCGTGAGGCGACCGCCATTGTCTCGTAATAACCGCTCGTCTGACGTAACTTTTGGCGTGAGTGCCCAAGCTGTTAAGTTGGGCTCAGTCCTCCTCAGTAACCCAATATTATCACCTGGTGTTGTACTGTACAACGTGGCACTAGGTTATGAGGCAGTTATAGCCGCCGAGAGTGACGCCGTGAGCAAGAGGACTGTGATGTCTGGGGAAGGAAACGTGACGATTGGGGAATATTGTTTCCCGCGGCCAGCCGTCGCCGCGCGCCAAGGTCGACGACGCCTGGACGGCGCGCGCCTGTCTGTATATATACCACGGTGGCGCTGTCACCGCACCTTAGTCTTGGGTCGACGCCGACACCACCGACAGCGTTATCACGGAAACCTGTCGGACCTGACGCTCATTTTCAGGTTATATTGCTTTTCGCACTTTTGTTTTTCTTCTAAAACTTAGATTTTTATTTATGTTGTTTGCAGTGGACACGTTATTACTTTGTCCGTGGTTCGTGACCTATCGTGAGTGGCTGTCAGTGTTGCAGGGGCTGCAAGTGTGCTACAGTCCCTCAGTGTGAGAGTGGAGTCATTGTCACCTCTCTACAGTACAGTGTGTCACTAACAGCTTGGTTGCCGTCTGCACTAAGAACCAGAAAATGTGTACAAACAGGGACCAAGAACATTGCTACAGGTTCGTGTCCATAGACTCGTAGACCCTTGGCACCTGAGGCAAATGTGCACTTAATGAGGTGGGTGAGGAACGCGTTTGGTAAACCAGAGACCCAAGAGCAGTTAGTTTTCTAGTCCGGCGCCTCAGTGGCGCGATCCAGAGAGGAAATGCTTCCTGTATCTTGGCCACGCACCCCACCTCTGCAGAGGTGAAGGTGGTGCTCAGTAGTGACCTCGTGAGGCACTGGTGACCACAAGTGACCTCTGGTCACACTAGAGGTCAACAGTGCCACTGTAGGTTGATAATGACGCTGGGGAACTTTGGTGCCACTGGAAACCACTGGAATAAGGTGCAGGCAGACGATGAGTCACAATAACGGGGCTGAAGATATAATGACCAAACCACTCACCAGAAGATGGAGAAACTACGATTGTTTTCTATTGTTGACGCCGGAGGCGGCTAGTTTATTGTGCACCCCATACCCATCCTGTGAGCGGTAGTTTATTGTGCACCCCATACCCATCCTGTGAGCGGTAGTTTATTGTGCACCCCATACCCATCCTGTGAGCGGTAGTTTATTGTGCACCCCATACCCATCCTGTGAGCGGTAGTTTATTGTGCACCCCATACCCATCCTGTGAGCGGTAGCGCAAAAGCATTACAGAGGGCACAAAAGGTCTTTATCAGACCTCATCTTAGATTATTACATAAACAATTTCTTCAATCCTTCACACCTTATAGATACAATGTCAGATAGTTACAGAGAAAGTGCTATTACAAGAGCTACATATTTACAGTAAGTCATCATACATTAATGGCAGGTCTTATCGCTAATACATAATAGTTTGACCAATGGGGATATTACAGAGTCATAGGGGAGCTTCTGTTTATTATTAGTCTTCACAATACACTACTTGTTTCTGAATCTCATATGTCGGTCATCTACTGGAAGCAAAATATGGATACAGTGCAAGGATTTCAGGTAATTTATCCATGGTAATAAGATAGGTTGCCATATCATACAGAGTGAGCTTAGATTTATCTCTAAATGGCTCAATTTTACTACAATCCAAGATATAGTGTTGGAGTGTGTGTCCCTGTCTTTGTCCACACACTTTACACTTTACTTCATCTAGATCCCTATACAAGCCGAACTGCCAGAGATACTTGTAGCCAAGTCTTATACGAGCTGTGACAACATCTGTTAGTCTACTGACTTTGTTACTTGCCCCATACACATGTTTTACTTCACACATTTCATTGTGATGAACAATGGACCTGCTAGTTCCAGTTTGCATTGTTTTCGGTCCGTCGTGGACCATTATCAAGTGGTGTGTCTTGATAATGGTCCAAGACGGACCGAAACGTCGTCGTCTCTTCATCTTCTGACGTGTTGTTTGGTCATCAATACTGTGCTTGTGTTCATTTGTTATCTTGTTCTTCCGACCTGAACATTGAAGGAACTTGACGCTCAACTTAGTCTTCTGGTGAACTTAAGTGAACACTGGTTAATGATAAGTGTCAGATGTTAACATGTTGAAGCGAAGGTCAGACTTAACACAGATAACAGATAACATGTCTAGTGTTCACGTGTCATTAATAAAGTGTTGTATTGACCCCGTGCAGCAGCCGACACTGATGGAGGGCGGTCAGTACATCCTGGAGGGCGAGGAGGAGCCCAGGAGCACCACCATCATCTTCTCCATGGCTGAGGAGGTCGGCGCCCTCGCTAACGCTCTCAAGATCTTCCAGGTCAGTATACCGGGGTTCAGTGTAGGTCACTAGGACCTTACTCAGGCCAGGTCAGTATACCGGGGTTCAGTGTAGGTCCCCAGGACCTTACTCAGGCCAGGTCAGTATACCGGGGCTCAGTGTAGGTCCCCAGGACCTTACTCAGGCCAGGTCAGTATACCGGGGTTCAGTGTAGGTCCCCAGGACCTTACTCAGGCCAGGTCAGTATACCGGGGCTCAGTGTAGGTCCCCAGGACCTTACTCAGGCCAGGTCAGTATACCGGGGTTCAGTGTAGGTCCCCAGGACCTTACTCAGGCCAGGTCAGTATACCGGGGTTCAGTGTAGGTCCCCAGGACCTTACTCAGGCCAGGTCAGTATACCGGGGTTCAGTGTAGGTCACTAGGACCTTACTCAGGCCAGGTCAGTATACCGGGGCTCAGTGTAGGTCCCCAGGACCTTACTCAGGCCAGGTCAGTATACCGGGGTTCAGTGTAGGTCCCCAGGACCTTACTCAGCCACAAGGGAATAATTCTCTTCTTGGGGACAGGAAGCCTTAGGTGTATTGACGTGTTCCTTGGGACCAAGAGCTGACCTGATGCAGGATGCTCTCCACAACAGCTGACCAAATCCCAGGTACCTATTTAATTGATAGATGAGCAGAGGCATGCGGTAAAAGGAAATGGAGCCGTTTCTGTCCAGCCCCGGGGATTGAACCCGGGTCCTTTGGTTGTGAGCCGAGGACGTAGCCCACTGTGCATCAGGACCGACTGAGGAGACAGACAGATACAGTGAACTAAATATAAGAATGGTCGTTGTGGAGAGTGTTAAGCTGGGACTAACATACCTGAGAGCAGAGGGAAGGTTAGGGCCCCCACCTGGACCATTGGGGATCGAACCCAGACCCGCCAAACAGCTAGACCGTTCCATTTCCGTTACCTACATCGTATAGGACAGGTCAGGCTAGTTAGACATCTGTTCTTATAGAGTGAGAATAATAGCCTGTGGTACACACGGCCTGAGTGGAGTGTATCCCAGACTGATGTGAGGGTGTGGTACACAGGCACACAACGTCAACCTCCTGCACATTGAGTCGCGGCCCTCGAGGCGCGAGGCCAAGTACGAGATCATGGTAGAGTGCGACTCCACCACCGGAGACCTCGGCAACGCCATGGAGCAGATGAGGGCCAGCTGCTCCTACTTCCAGGTCATCTCCAGGAACCATCTGGACAACAAGGGTGAGCTTATGTTCCTGTTGTATGGCACCCCTGGCCCATACACCTCCACCCTCACCCCAGACACCTCCACCCTCACCCCATACACCTCCACCCTCACCCCATACACCACCACCCTCACCCCATACACCTCCACCCTCACCACATACACCACCACCCTCACCCCATACACCACCACCCTCACTCCATACACCACCACCCTCACCCCATACACCTCCACCCTCACCCCATACACCTCCACCCTCACCCCATACACCTCCACCCTCACCCCATACACCTCCACCCTCACCCCATACACCTCCACCCTCACCCCATACAACACCACCCTCACCCATACACCTCCACCCTCACCCCATACACCACCACCCTCACCCCATACACCACCACCCTCACCCCATACAACACCACCCTCACCCATACACCTCCACGCTCACCCCATACACCTCCACCCTCACCCCATACAACACCACCCTCACCCCATACACCACCACCCTCACCCCATACACCTCCACCCTCACTCCATACACCTCCACCCGCACCCATACACCTCCACCCTCACCCCATACACCTCCACCCTCAGGTAACGGTAGCCACCTGCCACAGGTAACGGTAGCCACGCCCACACATGACCACGCCCACACATGACCACGCCCACACATGACCACGCCCACACATGACCACGCCCACACATGACCACGCCCACACATGACCACGCCCACATCTGACCACACCCAACCAGTCATCTTAATAGAGCGTCGCATTTTGACGTATAGTCTACCTAACGCCAAAAATCGTCGTACTAGAATATGGTAGCGGCTCAAAATTGACATACTGTTTTCTGTTGTGGGTCCTCTGGTAGGTTAGGATAAGGGCACTTTAGCACGACAGTTTTCTTTGACGCTGGGGAGCCTTAGGAGGCCGGGGTGCCACCGCCACACCTGACCACGCCATCTGTACTCCCTCCTCCAGGCACCGTGCCGTGGTTCCCCCGGAAGATCGCGGACCTGGACCGCTTCGCCAACCAGATCCTGTCGTACGGGTCGGAGCTGGACGCGGACCATCCCGGCTTCACCGACCCCGTGTACAGGGCGCGCAGGAAGTACTTCGCTGACATCGCCTACCACTACAAGCAGTGAGTACTCAACCACACCTTCACATGCCTTCACTAACTTAGCGCATTAGAGGAAATGATCTGTGCTTACTGGGGTTCGACTTGAGCTCCTGGGCCTCGTCACTGATACACTATTCGGTGACTGATGACCCCAATCTCCCACTCCCTCACAGTTAGCTTAGTTCATTTATTATGCACCTCATACCCATCTTGTGGGCGGTAGTGGAAAGGGTTACAGAGGTACATAATGGGCTCAGGGACTGAACCCCACAATTCATTAGGTAAGCAAGTTACAATCTTGATGAGCTAGTTACAAAATTCAGTATAAGTCATCACATCAACAATGGGTTCGAGATCGACCTCAAGTACAGGTTCTAAATTAAGCAACTGACATATGTGAAGAGCTAGTGTCAAAATTGATATGTGTGTCCTGCACACCGCCCCCCATCCAGTGTGCAGCGGTGGATAGGTTACAGTCACTTAGTTACTACCTACAGTTAGCAAACTGGGGATATTTGGCTAAAATTTCTGGTAGCAGATCATTTTGAATGAAATATTTACACATCGTTGGAACATTAGTTATAAAATTGTCTCTGAATTCACGTATCTTTCCGCACTCCATCACATAGTGACGGAGGGTGTGGGAATAATTTTGTTGACACAGTTTACATTTGGTCAGGTCAGTGAAGCCAATCTTTCATTCATCTCTGCCGCATTATTTAACCATTTCTGCGTGTTTATTATACGAGAACGTAGTCTCGAGTAATTACTATATAACTGATATATACGAATTTTTTTTATTTAATGTTTGTTTGCAGCAATCAGGAGATCCCACGGGTGGAGTACACGGCCGAGGAGAAGGAGACGTGGGGCGTGGTGTTCCGGAACCTAGCCAAGCTCTACAAGACCCACGCCTGCAAGGAACATAACACTGTCTTCCCGCTACTCATAGAAAACTGTGGCTACAGAGAGGACAATGTTCCTCAGCTTCAAGACGTTTCGAATTTCCTTAAAGGTAAGAGATGAATATCTTTTATATGGTTACTTCTTTAGAGAGTAAATGGTGTGTGACCTTTGATGAAACTCTAAAGTTACCCCTTTTAATAGATTAAGATATATATTTTCTCTGAAGGAAACTTTAATATAAGAAACTTGAACTACTTCTTTAGCAAGCGAATTATGTGCATACTTTCAGAAACATTAGTTACTCTTTTAAAGAAATTAACTATTACGTTTTCTATGAAAAACTTGATTATAAGAAAACAGTTTTGTGGGCATAACTATTTAATAAAATATAAATTTGTTCACACGTTAACAATTATCTGTAATATTAATTGTAAGTATATGTATATAGTTAATGAACTTTATTTAATAATGTTTTCTAGTTAGATTACTTTAGAATATGCAGTATTTACTTCAATTAATACCATTAAGCTTTAAAATAAGAATTGTATTATTTAAACCATATCTAGCTTGGATTAGCAATACATATATTTGAACTGCGTCGTATAGTTTAGGATATCAAGAAATACTCAACGTAAAATGTATTCTCGATGGCTATAGATTGAAAGTGTGCTTTAGTTTTGACCAGTGGTTAAGGCTCATGTATACTTGCTGGTTAATTGGCCAATAAGCTTTAGAAATGTCCTTAACAAGCCTCCAGAGGTTGACTGACCACACCCTCACCCCCCTAGACTGTACCGGGTTCACCTTGCGGCCTGTAGCCGGCCTGCTGTCGTCTCGAGACTTCCTGGCAGGTCTGGCCTTCCGGGTCTTCCACTCGACGCAGTACATCCGGCACCCCAGCAAGCCGCTCTACACCCCGGAGCCGGATATCTGCCACGAGTTACTGGGCCACGCGCCCCTCCTGGCCGACCCGGCCTTCGCTCAGTTCTCTCAGGAGATCGGCCTGGCCTCCCTCGGCGCTCCCGACGAGTTCATCGAGAAGCTGGCCACGGTGAGTTTACCTGAGTTTACCCTAGAGCACTAACACTAGTGGCCTCGATGAGGACAGGATGCCGGCGGCGTGTCGAAGGTCCTCCCCATCCTTGCTTACCCCACTGGTAGATTATTGTATTGGTTCAGATAATGTAATGGAGGAGGGTTACTTGCAGCATGTCGTCGTCCAGGGGTCAAGGCGCGCGTAACACTGGTTCGATTCCAGTCCTGCTCTGAGGATTCTCTCAGAAATACATCGTGGTGACGTAATGGGGTTATGTGTGGTATGTTGATGGTTGTAACAGCGCCGCATGTGTGGACGGTAGTTAAGTGTGCTAAACCGCACTTAATAATAAGTGGCTCAGCATTTGAGCCTAACCTAGAATCACGTGCCCTAGCCTAACCTGACCTGACCTCACCCGATCTAATCTGTCTTGTTCTGGCCTTACCTAATTTAATCTGGCTTGACCTGGCGTGACCTATTATAACCTGACCCAATCTTTCGTGACCTAACCTAACCTATAGTGACTTGACCTAACCTATAGTGACCTAACCTATGGTGACCTAACCTATAGTGACTTAACCTAACCTATAGTGACCTAAGCTAACCTGGCCTCTAGTGTGAACTCTAACGGAAAGTATTCAGTGTTGGCTGACATTTCAATTGGTTTGCTATGTAAATATGCACTTACTTTCTTAGCAATTTATAATACATTGTCTCCACAGTGCTACTGGTTCACCGTCGAGTACGGCATCTGTCGGCAAAACGGTGAAAACAAGGCGTTTGGAGCGGGTCTCCTGTCGTCGTTTGGGGAGCTTGAGTACTGCCTCAGTGACCAGCCGGAGCTGCGGACCTTCGACCCCTCCAAGACGTGTGAGCAGAAGTACCCCATAACAGAGTACCAGCCTGTCTACTACGTGGCCGAGAGCTTTGAGGACGCCAAGCAGAAGATGATGTGAGTACATGAGTACCTACACTCCTGGCGTTCAGTGGGGGTCTTATATGATAGCGTTCACAGAGTACCTGGACTCCTGGCGTTCAGTGGGGGTCTTATATGATAGCGTTCACAGAGTACCTGCACTCCTGGCGTTCAGTGGGGGTCATATATGATAGCGTTCACAGAGTACCTGCACTCCTGGCGTTCAGTGGGGGTCATATATGATAGCGTTCACAGAGTACCTGCACTCCTGGCGTTCAGTGGGGGGTCATATATGATAGCGTTCACAGAGTACCTGCACTCCTGGCGTTCAGTGGGGGTCATATATGATAGCGTTCACAGAGTACCTGCACTCCTGGCGTTCAGTGGGGTCTTATATGATAGCGTTCACAGAGTACCTGCACTCCTGGCGTTCAGTGGGGTCTTATATGATAGCGTTCACAGAGTACCTACACTCCAGGTGTTCAGTGGGGGTCTTATATGATAGCGTTCACAGAGTACCTACACTCCAGGTGTTCAGTGGGGGTCTTATATGATAGCGTTCACAGAGTACCTGCACTCCTGGCGTTCAGTGGGGTCTTATATGATAGCGTTCACAGAGTACCTACACTCCAGGTGTTCAGTGGGGGTCTTATATGATAGCGTTCACAGAGTACCTACACTCCAGGTGTTCAGTGGGGGTCTTATATGATAGCGTTCACAGAGTACCTACACTCCAGGTGTTCAGTGGGGGTCTTATATGATAGCGTTCACAGAGTACCTACACTCCAGGTGTTCAGTGGGGGTCTTATATGATAGCGTTCAGAACTATTAAGAAAACTTGTAAGTTAGAACATATATAAGTATTGATTAACTTGTTGAAGTTGTAGGTTGTTAACTCACCATCACGGCTTTAATAACCAGCAGGTTATTGTTTCTTAGTTAACAATTCATGAAACCTTGAGACGTTAGAGCACGCGCCTAAGTCAATCCCCCACATGTGTAGTATATGACTTTATACGTTTAAATCTGTTCCATATACTAGTTCCTTTCAGGTATACCGCTCTAGCGATACACTAATGTGGTTGGTGTGTCCCGTTGCAGACAATTCGCCACGACGATCCCCCGGCCGTTCTCGGTGCGCTACAACCCGTACACGCAGTCCGTGGAGCTGCTCAACTCCAAGCCGCAGATCAAGGCCCTGGTGCGGGAGATCAACTGCGACATGCAGGTCCTGATGGACGCGCTGGTCAAGCTCACCTAGACCTCCTGCTGCTGCTGACTCTGGCCTGGTGTGTGTGTTGGACGGTCTCGCTGCCATACGTTGTTACTTTTAAGTTTTGTTTTTAATGTGTAAATCATTCTTTGATTGGTTGTGTGTGCAGGGTGGTGTGAGGCAGGTGTCGTGCCTGGGTGAGGCAGGTGTCGTGCCTGGGTGAGGCAGGTTCTGGTGTTCGCGGGCGCTGGAGTGCTCTGAAAAGTAAATAAGCTTTTCAAGAAAAAGTTAGGCCCCCAGAACCCCCATTCCCAAGACTCTCAAGACCCAAGACACCCCCCCCCCCTGCACCCCCTCCATCTCCTGTGATAAGTGGTCCACGCAGAACGACCTCTGCTACTCACCCTCCCTAGAGTGTGTCCTCGTGTATGAACCTCTCCGGTCACGTCGGAGGCGAGGTGCTGATGAGTCTGTGTCCCCGTGATGCTGAACCACCGCTCTCCTCGGGCCTCTGATCTGTCCTTCATATTTACCATAACTTGAGCTTTGAGAAAGCATATATAACATAAGCTACTAACATAAGTGTATAGAGTGTGAGGGCGCCGTACTGGGTCGCCCCGCAGGGACAGGCTTCTCACCACCAGTTTTCATGATATTTGTCACTACGATCGTCTGCTGCAACAGCCCGGCTCTGGTCCTGCAATATTGCTCATATCATTATGCAATTAGTGTTGTAGAAATTATATTATTTTCTTGATAATAAAACATGTATCAGTAAAATAAGTTTAATTTCCTTCCACATGATGTGTTGCTCTTGCCTCTCACCGCCACTCAACGTCTTCCTATATTAGCATTAATATAAAGTTCTTGTGAGATAACATTGACGTCGTGCGGTGGGATCCAACCCCCGTCTCTGGACTCCTACAAACAACCCTAATCGGCCCAGATAGGGAAGTTCGATCCCACACCATGACTTTATTATTTCCTGATAGATACATCACGCAGCTCTGTAATGCAGGACGCAAGACACAACAACGTGGCTGAACGTTTAGAAGTGTCGTCACTTCACTTATTTTGAGATGAGTGGGGTTGAGTTGTAATTACTACTTCAAGTTAGACCTTCCACAGTACATAAAGTAAGGCGAATATCACCTAATTACACCAAGTGACTTCTCTGGTTACTGAATATCTTGATATATTCTCATAGACTTTGTGTAAGACTTGCAGGTCAAATTGGCTTCTTATGTGGAACAGAATTACAGAGAAGAGCTTTTATCAGTGGTACAGGAGATACAATGGAGGCTTCTTATAGAGTTTCAGAGGAGGTCAGCGGCCCGGCTACACCTATGAAGACCCCAGAAATATTTTCAGAATCAAAAGTTAAGGAAAATCTAATTTATTTGTGTAAGGTTAAGAATAATTATTATGAGAAGATTTGCTTTGCTTAATTTCTTTAAAATAATTTTTTCCAAAACATCAGTAAATTGATGTGTTAGTTGCTGTAACTCACAGCCGGTCTAGCCCTGACCTGCAGCCCTAATGTGGACCCAAGCCTTAACCCGGCCCTGAATGATTTTATAGAGGTGTAGGGAGCTCCGAGGGTAGAGGTGCATTGTCCCCTGGAGTCTACCTGTCCCTGGACAGGTAGACTCTACCCGCCCTCTGGTGAGGAGAGTGTGTGAGGCTGTACTTGGTGAGGAGAGTGTGTGAAGCTGTACTTGGTGAGGAGAGTGTGTGAAGCTGTACTTGGTGAGGAGAGTGTGTGAAGCTGTACTTAGTGAGGAGAGTGTGTGAAGCTGTACTTGGTGAGGAGAGTGTGTGAAGCTGTACTTGGTGAAGAGAGTGTGTGAAGCTGTACTTGGTGAGGAGAGTGTGTGAAGCTGTACTTGGTGAGGAGAGTGTGTGAAGCTGTACTTGGTGAGGAGAGTGTGTGAGGCTGTACTTGGTGAGGAGAGTGTGTGAAGCTGTACTTGGTGAGGAGAGTGTGTGAAGCTGTACTTGGTGAGGAGAGTGTGTGAAGCTGTACTTGGTGAGGAGAGTGTGTGAAGCTGTACTTAGTGAGGAGAGTGTGTGAAGCTGTACTTGGTGAGGAGAGTGTGTGAAGCTGTACTTGGTGAGGAGAGTGTGTGAAGCTGTACTTGGTGAGGAGAGTGTGTGAAGCTGTACTTGGTGAGGAGAGTGTGTGAAGCTGTACTTGGTGAGGAGAGTGTGTGAAGCTGTACTTGGTGAGGAGAGTGTGTGAAGCTGTACTTGGTGAGGAGAGTGTGTGAAGCTGTACTTGGTGAGGAGAGTGTGTGAAGCTGTACTTGGTGAGGAGAGTGTGTGAAGCTGTACTTGGTGAGGAGAGTGTGTGAGGCTATACTTGGTGAGGAGAGTGTGTGAAGCTGTACTTGGTGAGGAGAGTGTGTGAAGCTGTACTTGGTGAGGAGAGTGTGTGAAGCTGTACTTGGTGAGGAGAGTGTGTGAAGCTGTACTTAGTGAGGAGAGTGTGTGAAGCTGTACTTGGTGAGGAGAGTGTGTGAAGCTGTACTTAGTGAGGAGAGTGTGTGAAGCTGTACTTGGTGAGGAGAGTGTGTGAAGCTGTACTTGGTGAGGAGAGTGTGTGAAGCTGTACTTGGTGAGGAGAGTGTGTGAAGCTGTACTTAGTGAGGAGAGTGTGTGAAGCTGTACTTGGTGAGGAGAGTGTGTGAAGCTGTACTTAGTGAGGAGAGTGTGTGAAGCTGTACTTAGTGAGGAGAGTGTGTGAAGCTGTACTTGGTGAGGAGAGTGTGTGAAGCTGTACTTGATGAGGAGAGTGTGTGAAGCTGTACTTGGTGAGGAGAGTGTGTGAAGCTGTACTTGGTGACTCCCACACAGAGCAGTTACTAGCGGCCGGCTGGTGCGTTTCTGTGGGGCTGAGGCACCGTGATGGACGCCTTGTAGAACTACTCAAGCTGGAGAGGTTCAGAGTCTCCAAGTCAGTAGTAAGGTGCTCCCTGAGCCCAACCACTTGGGCTGGACGGTAGAGCGACAGTCTCGCTTCTTGCAGTTCGGCTTTCAATCCCCGACCATCCAAATGGTTGGGCACCATTCCTTTCTCCCCGTCCCATCCCAAATCCTTATCCTGACCCGTTCCCAGTGCTGTATAGTCGTAATGGCTTGGCGCTTTCCCCTGAGAGTTCGCTTCCCTTCCCACAGAGTGAAACACTCCACCAAGAAGTGTTTCAGTCCCCTGAAGATAACAGCAGGAGTGAAACAATGTCACTTAATATGTGGGCAGGACGCACCGAAACGTGCCCAGTGTCGCCTCACATGTATACTCTTGTTTACCTGCTGTAGCCGCCTTCTTGACACATTCTCTGCAACAACAATAAACACAACTGGAAGGGTCTAAATATAACAGAAAAACTGATTTCAAGATTTATTACAAAATAATGGCGTAGATAGAGACCTGCCACGGACACCACCCGGCAGGGAGCGTCTGCTGATGCCTGTAATGGTTGCATATTCAAAGAGCGACGCATGCACGCACTCCAGCCTCAACATGGTGAGAATAACAACTACTCATACATCCATTACATTCGTAAAGTGAATGAAAGCACAGGAGTAACATTCGTGAATGTAGAACATTGTGAGAGCGCGCTCTACTAATGTATAGTTGTAGCTAATGTTGGGTTAAAGAAAGACGTTCTGGCATGACAACGGAGAACGAAGTTAATCTTTGAGAACGAGCGTTAATCTTGTTAACGCCTCGCGTTAACAAGATCAACGAGGGCGTCTCTGGAGCCAGATTCACGAAGCAGTTACGCAAGCACTTACGAACCTGAACATCTTTTCTCAATCTTTGGCGGCTTTGTTTACAATTATTAAACAGTTAATGAGCCCCGAAGCACCAGGAGGCTGTTTATAACAATAACAATAGTTGATTGGCAAGTTTTCATGGTTGTAAACTGTTTAATAAATGTAACCAAAGTCGTCAAAGATTGAGGAAAGATGTACAAGTTCGTAAGTACTTGCGTAACTGCTTGGTGAATCTGGCGTGTGGTGTACCAACGCACAGACAACTTCGTATACGCTGTTGAAGGCACAATATCCAGCAAGCTCTGTACGATTATAAGTCTTAAAATAATAACAATATATCATAGTATTTAATAATACTTTGTGCGTGAACTAGAACGCATGTTGGTCTTGGTACTGGTCGTAGGATGGCTGTTGGTACTGGGAGTCGGAGTCGTACTGGCGCTCTGGGGTGTACTGGGACCTGGTAGGGGAGTACTTGGCCGGCACTGCTGGGTACTCCTGGTCAGGCTTGGGGGAGGGCACGATGTACAGGTCCTCGTTGACCTGCAGGAGACAAGGACAACCTCTTCACACCACGGACTGACCAAGTACACGTGAGTAATAGTGGCCGGGTGACCTAACCTGAGTGTAAGGGCGGATGATGAGTCACAGTAACGGGGCTGAAGATATAATGACCCAACCACTCACCAGAAGCACCTTCATCACCTTCAGTGATTAAGTGCTTAATTGCACACTAGTTTCTTTATCAGCTATCTCACCCTGTCAGAGTAAATGAGACAAATGTATGTGAATGCATGTGTGTGTGTATATGTATGTATATGTGTGTGTGTATGTATATATATGGGTATAAAGTATATATGGAAGCTGATCAAAATTACATTTCACCTTTGTGAATAAACATTAATGACACTATGTAAAAGACACATCTAACACTTTATGTAGGGCATACGTAAATCTGTGTATCTATGTATTTACGTATGTAGGTTAGCTTAGCATTTTAAACCCACCAGAAGATGAGGAGACAACGACGTTTCGGTCCGTCTTGAACCATTGTCAAGTCGTATCTCACACGACTTAATAATGGTCCAGGACGGACCGAAACGTCGTCACTTCTCCAACTTCTGATGTGTGGTCTGGTCAACAGTAGGAGACACTTGCTTTCTGATGCATTTGCCCTCTTCCAGCAGCTGGGCAATCCCCCTGTGTAAATGACTCATTATAGATTAGTGCTAGAGGTATGCTGAGGGCCTCTGCTGCTTCTTTTACCACCCATGGTGATACTCTGTCTGGCCCAGTAGCTTTAGTTACCTCCAGTGATGTCAGCTGTGTTCTTACTGCCTCACCTGTTACCTCAATATTTAGTAGTATCTCGTGAGGTGGCTGCTTCCTCGTCTGGGAGTGTTCTGGCTCAGTGGTGAACACCCCATGGAAGCTGCCAGTGTGCTCCAAACACACTGTGTAGTGTGTGTGAATGTATGTCACCTAGTTGTGCTTGCGGGGGTTGAGCTCTGGCTCTTTGGTCCCGCCTCTCAACTGTCAATCAACTGGTGTACAGGTTCCTGAGCCTATTGGGCTCTATCATATCTACATTTGAAACTGTGTATAGAGTCAGCCTCCACCACATCACTGCCTAATGCATTCCATCCGTTAACTACTCTGACACTGAAAAAGTTCTTTCTAACGTTCCTGTGAAGGAACTGTGTGTGTGTGTGTGTGTGTGTGTGTGTGTACTCACCTAGTTGTACTCACCTAGTTGTGTCTGCAGGATCGAGCATTGACTCTTGGATCCCGCCTTTCGAGCATCGGTTGTTTACAGCAATGACTCCTGTCCCATTTCCCTATCATACCTGGTTTTAAAATTATGAATAGTATTTGCTTCCACAACCTGTTCCTGAAGTGCATTCCATTTTCCCACTACTCTCACGCTAAAAGAAAACTTCCTAACATCTCTGTGACTCATCTGAGTTTCAAGCTTCCATCCATGTCCTCTCGTTCTGTTACTATTCCGTGTGAACATTTCGTCTATGTCCACTCTGTCAATCCCTCTGAGTATCTTATACGTTCCTATCATGTTCCCCCTCTCCCTTCTTCTTTCTAGTGTCGTAAGGCACAGTTCCCTCAGGCGCTCTTCATACCCCATCCCTCGTAGCTCTGGGACGAGTCTCGTTGCAAACCTCTGAACCTTTTCCAGTTTCATTATATGCTTCTTCAGATGGGGACTCCATGATGAGGCGGCATACTCTAAGACTGGCCTCACGTAGGCAGTGTAAAGCGCCCTAAATGCCTCCTTACTTAGGTTTCTGAATGATGTTCTAACTTTTGCCAGTGTAGAGTACGCTGCTGTCGTTATCCTATTAATATGTGCCTCAGGAGATAGATTAGGTGTTACGTCCACCCCCAGGTCTCTTTCACGCGTCGTTACAGGTAGACTGTTCCCCTTCATTGTGTACTGTCCCTTTGGTCTCCTATCTCCTAGTCCCATTTCCATAACTTTACATTTGCTCGTGTTGAATTCTAGTAGCCATTTCTCTGACCATCTCTGCAATCTGTTCAGGTCCTCTTGGAGGATCCTGCAATCCTCATCTGTCACAACTCTTCTCATCAACTTTGCATCATCCGTAAACATCGACATTTAGGACTCTACGCCTGTAAACATGTCGTTAACATATACAAGAAATAGAATTGGTCCCAGCACCGATCCTTGTGGTACTCCTGTCTCAGGTACTTGTGTGTGTGTGTGTGTGTGTGTGTGTGTGTGTGTGTGTGTGTGTGTGTGTGTGTGTGTGTGTGTGTGTGTGTGTGTGTGTGTGTGTGTGTGTGTGTGTGTGTGTGTGTGCGTGCGTCTGTGTGTGTGTGTATGCGCGTGCGTGCGTGCGTGCGTGTATACGTACCCTCTCCTGCTTGGCGATGGTGTCGGAGTCACAGCGGACGTTGAACCACCACTCACACACCCGGTTGGCCTGGTTGTAGATGGTGCCATTGGGACACAGGAACGACTCCATCAGACCGTCAGTCTTGCAGTAGTGCCACACCTGCAGCACACACACCACACCTTAGTTAGCGCAGCCCCAGGGGTGAGACGGGCACTGGTGTGGGAGAAGAGACAGGCAGTGGTGTGGGAGAAGAGACAGGCAGTGGTGTGGGGAGAAGAGACAGGCAGTGGTGTGGTAGAAGAGACAGGCAGTGGTGTGGTAGAAGAGACAGGCAGTGGTGTGGTAGAAGAGACAGGCAGTGGTGTGGGAGAAGAGACAGGCAGTGGTGTGGGGAGAAGAGACAGGCAGTGGTGTGGTAGAAGAGACAGGCAGTGGTGTGGTAGAAGAGACAGGCAGTGGTGTGGTAGAAGAGACAGGCAGTGGTGTGGTAGAAGAGACAGGCAGTGGTGTGTGGGAGAAGAGACGGGCAGTGGTGTGAGGGAGAAGAGACAGGCAGTGGTGTGGTAGAAGAGACAGGCAGTGGTGTGGTAGAAGAGACAGGCAGTGGTGTGTGGGAGAAGAGACGGGCAGTGGTGTGAGGGAGAAGAGACAGGCAGTGGTGTGGTAGAAGAGACAGGCAGTGGTGTGGTAGAAGAGACAGGCAGTGGTGTGTGGGAGAAGAGACGGGCAGTGGTGTGAGGGAGAAGAGACAGGCAGTGGTGTGATGGAGAAGAGACAGGCAGTGGTGTGAGGGAGAAGAGACGGGCAGTGGTGTGAGGGAGAAGAGACGGGCAGTGGTGTGAGGGAGAAGAGACGGGCAGTGGTGTGAGGGAGAAGAGACGGGCAGTGGTGTGAGGGATAAGAGACGGGCAGTGGTGTGGTAGAAGAGACAGGCAGTGGTGTGTGGGAGAAGAGACAGGCAGTGGTGTGATGGAGAAGAGACAGGCAGTGGTGTGAGGGAGAAGAGACAGGCAGTGGTGTGTGGGAGAAGAGACAGGCAGTGGTGTGATGGAGAAGAGACAGGCAGTGGTGTGAGGGAGAAGAGACAGGCAGTGGTGTGAGGGAGAAGAGACAGGCAGTGGTGTGAGGGAGAAGAGACGGGCAGTGGTGTGAGGGAGAAGAGACAGGCAGTGGTGTGGTAGAAGAGACAGGCAGTGGTGTGTGGGAGAAGAGACAGGCAGTGGTGTGAGGGAGAAGAGACGGGCAGTGGTGTGAGGGAGAAGAGACGGGCAGTGGTGTGAGGGATAAGAGACGGGCAGTGGTGTGGTAGAAGAGACAGGCAGTGGTGTGTGGGAGAAGAGACAGGCAGTGGTGTGATGGAGAAGAGACAGGCAGTGGTGTGAGGGAGAAGAGACAGGCAGTGGTGTGTGGGAGAAGAGACAGGCAGTGGTGTGTGGGAGAAGAGACAGGCAGTGGTGTGAGGGAGAAGAGACAGGCAGTGGTGTGAGGGAGAAGAGACAGGCAGTGGTGTGAGGGAGAAGAGACAGGCAGTGGTGTGAGGGAGAAGAGACAGGCAGTGGTGTGAGGGAGAAGAGACGGGCAGTGGTGTGTGGGAGAAGAGACAGGCAGTGGTGTGTGGGAGAAGAGACGGGCAGTGGTGTGTGGGAGAAGAGACAGGCAGTGGTGTGAGGGAGAAGAGACGGGCAGTGGTGTGTGGGAGAAGAGACAGGCAGTGGTGTGTGGGAGAAGAGACAGGCAGTGGTGTGAGGGAGAAGAGACGGGCAGTGGTGTGTGGGAGAAGAGACAGGCAGTGGTGTGTGGGAGAAGAGACAGGCAGTGGTGTGTGGAAGAAGAGACAGGCACCGGTGTGATGGAGAAGAGACAGGCAGTGGTGTGAGGGAGAAGAGACAGGCAGTGGTGTGAGGGAGAAGAGACAGGCAGTGGTGTGTGGAAGAAGAGACAGGCACCGGTGTGATGGAGAAGAGACAGACAGTGGTGTGGGGAGAAGAGACAGGCACCGGTGTGATGGAGAAGAGACAGGCACCGGTGTGATGGAGAAGAGACAGGCAGTGGTGTGAGGAGACAGGGAGCACAAGGTAGAGCAGAGAGAGATATAGTGATCACCTTGAGTACTTAGGATCTAATCTCAATGATCCTCGGATCCTAGGATCAATGCTTCTACGAGCCGGTCTCTGACTAGGCCTCCTGGTGAACATGGGGGACATTCATGTAGAGTTTCATAAGGAAGAGATGATTGAGTTACCTCAGGACTGTACTGAGGCGAGTCAGTAAGAAAAACAAGGGGGGGAGGGGGGGTCTGGGGGGATTCTAAAGTAAGTCACATACACAAAAGAGAATTAAAAGTAAATAAGAAATCATTATTAGTGTACACAAAATGGGCTCCAGGCGGCCGGTTGATTCGTCTATACCAGTGTCATGTGTAGACCGGACACGTCTGTTGGGACGAGGACCGGACACGGTCTGTTGGGACGAGGACCGGACACGGTCTGTTGGGACGAGGACCGGACACGTCTGTTGGGACGAGGACCGGACACGTCTGTTGGGACGAGGACCGGACACGGTCTGTTGGGACGAGGACCGGACACGGTCTGTTGGGACGAGGACCGGACACGTCTGTTGGGACGAGGACCGGACACGGTCTGTTGGGACGAGGACCGGACACGGTCTGTTGGGACGAGGACCGGACACGTCTGTTGGGACGAGGACCGGACACGGTCTGTTGGGACGAGGACCGGACACGGTCTGTTGGGACGAGGACCGGACACGTCTGTTGGGACGAGGACCGGACACGGTCTGTTGGAACGGGGACCGGACACGGTCTGTTGGGACGAGGACCGGACACGGTCTGTTGGGACGAGGACCGGACACGGTCTGTTGGGACGAAGACCGGACACGGTTTGTTGGGACGAGGACCGGACACGGTCTGTTGGGACGAGGACCGGACACGGTCTGTTGGGACGAGGACCGGACACGGTCTGTTGGGACGAGGACCGGACACGGTCTGTTGGGACGAGGACCGGACACGGTCTGTTGGGACGGGGACCGGACACGGTCTGTTGGGACGGGGACCGGACACGGTTTGTTGGGACGAGGACCGGACACGGTCTGTTGGGACGAGGACCGGACACGGTCTGTTGGGACGAGGACCGGACACGGTCTGTTGGGACGAAGACCGGAGAGGAAGTGCGTGACACAGAACAGAGACAGAAGGGGCGTGACACAGAACAAAGACAGAAGGGGCGTGACACAGAACACAGACAGGAGGGGCGTGACACAGAACACAGACAGGAGGGGCGTGACACAGAACACAGACAGGAGGGGCGTGACACAGAACACAGACAGGAGGGGCGTGACACAGAACACAGACAGGAGGGGCGTGACACAGAACAAAGACAGGAGGGGCGTGACACAGAACACAGACAGGAGGGGCGTGACACAGAACAAAGACAGGAGGGGCGTGACACAGAACACAGACAGGAGGGGCGTGACACAGAACAAAGACAGGAGGGGCGTGACACAGAACACAGACAGGAGGGGCGTGACACAGAACAGAGACAGAAGGGGCGTGACACAGAACAAAGACAGGAGGGGCGTGACACAGAACACAGACAGGAGGGGCGTGACACAGAACACAGACAGGAGGGGCGTGACACAGAACACAGACAGGAGGGGCGTGACACAGAACAAAGACAGGAGGGGCGTGACACAGAACAAAGACAGGAGGGGCGTGACACAGAACACAGACAGGAGGGGCGTGACACAGAACACAGACAGGAGGGGCGTTACACAGAACACAGACAGGAGGGGCGTGGCACAGAATACAGACAGGAGGGGCGTGACACAGAACACAGACAGGAGGGGCGTGACACAGAACACAGACAGGAGGGGCGTTATACAGAACACAGACAGGAGGGGCGTGACACAGAACACAGACAGGAGGGGCGTGGCACAGAATACAGACAGGAGGGGCGTGACACAGAACACAGACAGGAGGGGCGTGACACAGAACACAGACAGGAGGGGCGTGACACAGAACACAGACAGGAGGGGCGTGACACAGAACACAGACAGGAGGGGCGTGACACAGAACACAGACAGGAGGGGCGTGGCACAGAATACAGACAGGAGGGGCGTGACACAGAATACAGACAGGAGGGGCGTGACACAGAACACAGACAGGAGGGGCGTGGCACAGAATACAGACAGGAGGGGCGTGACACAGAACACAGACAGGAGGGGCGTGACACAGAATACAGACAGGAGGGGCGTGACACAGAACACAGACAGGAGGGGCGTGACACAGAGACAGGAGGGGCGTGACACAGAGACAGGAGGGGCGTGACACAGAACACAGACAGGAGGGGCGTGACACAGAACACAGACAGGAGGGGCGTGACACAGAACACAGACAGGAGGGGCGTGACACAGAACACACACAGGAGGGGCGTGACACAGAACACAGACAGGAGGGGCGTGACACAGAACACAGACAGGAGGGGCGTGACACAGAGACAGGAGGGGCGTGACACAGAACACAGACAGGAGGGGCGTGACACAGAACACAGACAGGAGGGGCGTGACACAGAGACAGGAGGGGCGTGACACAGAAAACACACAGGAGGGGCGTGACACAGAACACAGACAGGAGGGGCGTGGCACAGAACACAGACAGGAGGGGCGTGGCACAGCACCTGACAGCTGGAGGCTTCGTCGGCGTAGAAGCCCGGGAGTTTGCCCCTACAGGAGAAGCTGCTGGCGGGGATGACGGCGTGGACCGGGTAGTCCTTCCCTGGCTCCCCTGGAACACACACGGGGTTAGTGGCCTGTAGCCTGCTACCTGGACTATCCTCACACACACACACGGGGTTAGTGGCCTGTAGCCCGCTACCTGGACTATCCTCACACACACACACGGGGTTAGTGGCCTGTAGCCTGCTACCTGGACTATCCTCACACACACACACACGGGGTTAGTGGCCTGTAGCCTGCTATCTGGACTATCCTCACACACACACGGGGTTAGAGGCCTGTAGCCTGCTACCTGAACTATCCTCACACACACACGGGGTTAGTGACCTGTAGCCTGCTACCTGGACTATCCTCACACACACACACACGGGGTTAGTGGCCTGTAGCCTGCTACCTGGACTATCCTCACACACACACACGGGGTTAGTGACCTGTAGCCTGCTACCTGAACTATCCTCACACACACACACGGGGTTAGTGACCTGTAGCCTGCTACCTGGACTATCCTCACACACACACACACACGGGGTTAGTGGCCTGTAGCCTGCTACCTGGACTATCCTCACACACACACACGGGGTTAGTGGCCTGTAGCCTGCTACCTGAACTATCCTCACACACACACACGGGGTTAGTGACCTGTAGCCCGCTACCTGGACTATCCTCACACACACACACACGGGGTTAGTGACCTGTAGCCTGCTACCTGGACTATCCTCACACACACACACGGGGTTAGTGACCTGTAGCCTGCTACCTGGACTATCCTCACACACACACACACGGGGTTAGTGACCTGTAGCCTGCTACCTGGACTATCCTCACACACACACACGGGGTTAGTGACCTGTAGCCTGCTACCTGGACTATCCTCACACACACACACGGGGTTAGTGGCCTGTAGCCTGCTACCTGGACTATCCTCACACACACACGGGGTTAGTGGCCTGTAGCCCGCTACCTGGACTATCCTCACACACACACGGGGTTAGTGGCCTGTAGCCCGCTACCTGGACTATCCTCACACACACACACACGGGGTTAGTGGCCTGTAGCCTGCTACCTGGACTATCCTCACACACACACACACACACACACACACACACACGGGGTTAGTGGCCTGTAGCCCGCTACCTGGACTATCCTCACACACACACACACGGGGTTAGTGGCCTGTAGCCTGCTACCTGGACTATCCTCACACACACACACACACACACACACACACACACACACACACACACACACACACACACGGGGTTAGTGGCCTGTAGCCCGCTACCTGGACTATCCTCACACACACACACACGGGGTTAGTGGCCTGTAGCCTGCTACCTGGACTATCATCACACACACACGGGGTTAGTGGCCTGTAGCCTGCTACCTGGACTATCCTCACACACACACACACACACACACACACACACACACACACACACACACACACACACACACCCGGACATCCCCCGGACCCTCCCCGCCCCCAGTCATCCCCCAGACACCCCCCAGATCCCCCGGATCCCCTCTGCCCCCAGTCACCCCCCAGACATCCCCCAGATCCCCCCAGACCCCCAGAGAAAGGGAGAACTCTGGTACAAGAGTTTCCATGAAGAATCTCAAGGTTTGGTACACCAATGCTGATGGGGTATCTAATAAAGCAGAAGAGATAAAAGAAAGAGTGAGTGAAGCAGATCCTGACATAGTTGCAATTGTGGAAACTAAAATTAATGACATGATCTCAGATGCAATCTTTCCTGAAGGGTACCAGGTGATACGAAAAGAGAGGACACAGAGACAGGGAGGGGGAGTAGCACTCCTAATAAAGCGGAAATGGAAGTTTGAAGACCTGGGAAATCGAGTTACCAATGAGTGCACAAGCTTCATACATGGAACTCTGCCAGTAGATGGGAGGAAGATTGTGATCTTGGTAATCTACAATCCCCCACCAAACAGTAGAAGACCCAGGCAGGAGTATGATGACAACAACAAAGCATGTATAGATGAACTGCAGAAGGCAGCAACACTAGCCCACAGAATGAGAGCGAAGCTGCTGATCATGGGGGACCTAAATCATGGAGAGATAAATTGGGAATCAAGGAATCCCCATGGAGGGGACGAAACGTGGGGAGCAAAATTAGTAGATGTTATAGACAGGAATTTCCTGACACAACATGTGAAGGAAGACACAAGGGAAAGAGGAGGAGATGCACCGAGCCTATTAGACCTGATTTTCACCCAGAACGTAGAAGATATCGAGAATTTAGAGCATGAAATACCTCTAGGGGCCAGTGACCATTGTGTCCTAGTCTTTGACTACATGATGGAATTCAAACTTATGACCATGGGACAAGAGATCTGGGAAAGGAGAGCTGACTACAGGAAAGGGGACTATATGAGGATGAGGGACTATCTGGGTGAAGTGCAGTGGGAGGAAGAAATTAGAGGAAAAACAGTCCAAGATATGATGGACCTAGTCATACAGAAATGCCAGGAGGCCGAAGAGAGATTTATACCAACGGTAAAGGGAAAAAATAAGAGGGAATATAATAACCCATAGTTTAATAGACAGTGTCAGGAAGCAAAAATGGCCAGCAGGCGGGAGTGGAGGAAGTACAGAAGACAAAGAACAGAGGACAACAGAAGCAGATACAACAGAGCTAGGAACGATTACATTAACATAAGACGAACATCGGAAAGGGACTATGAGAACGATATTGCAATCAAAGCGAAAAAACAACCTAAGTTACTACACAGTCATATAAGAAGAAAAATGTCGGTGAACGACCAAGTGACAAGACTAAGGAAGACAGAGGGGGCATATACTGAAAGTGACAAGGAAATCTGCGAGGCACTGAATGCCAGTTTCCATGGAGTGTTCACTACCGAGCCTGAGCAGCTCCCATTGTTGGAAGGGGTTACCCTAGATGAAAGACTATCAGATATAGAGGTGACAGCAGAGGAGGTAATGAAACAGTTGACAACTCTAGATGCAACTAAAGCAGTTGGACCAGACAAAGTATCACCGTGGATACTAAAAGAAGCAGCACAGGCCCTCAGCGTGCCTCTGGCAATGATCTTTAATGAGTCACTTATGTCAGGAGAATTGCCCAGTTGCTGGAAGAAGGCAAATGTCGTGCCGATCTTCAAGAAAGGAGATAGGGAGGAGGCACTTAACTACAGACCTGTATCACTGACAAGCATCCCCTGTAAAATACTGGAAAGAATAATTAGGCTACGACTGGTTGCACACCTGGAGAACATTAGGTTTGTGAACAAACATCAACATGGGTTCTGGACAGGGAAATCGTGCCTAACAAACCTTCTGGAATTCTATGATAAAATAACGAGGATAAGACAGGACAGAGATGGTTGGGCAGACTGCATATTTCTGGACTGCCAAAAAGCCTTTGATACAGTACCGCACATGAGACTGCTGTTCAAGCTCGAGAGGCAGGCGGGGGTGGGGGGAAAGGTCCTAGAATGGATAAGGAACTACCTAACAGGAAGGAGCCAAAGAGTTACGGTAAGGGGCGAGAAGTCGGACTGGCGAACAGTAACAAGTGGAGTACCACAAGGATCGGTGCTGGGACCAATTCTATTTCTTGTATATGTTAACGACATGTTTACAGGCGTAGAGTCCTACATGTCGATGTTTGCGGATGATGCAAAGTTGATGAGAAGAGTTGTGACAGATGAGGATTGCAGGATCCTCCAAGAGGACCTGAACAGATTGCAGAGATGGTCAGAGAAATGGCTACTAGAATTCAACACGAGCAAATGTAAAGTTATGGAAATGGGACTAGGAGATAGGAGACCAAAGGGACAGTACACAATGAAGGGGAACAGCCTACCTGTAACGACGCGTGAAAGAGACCTGGGGGTGGACGTAACACCTAATCTATCTCCTGAGGCACATATTAATAGGATAACGACAGCAGCGTACTCTACACTGGCAAAAGTTAGAACATCATTCAGAAACCTAAGTAAGGAGGCATTTAGGGCGCTTTACACTGCCTACGTGAGGCCAGTCTTAGAGTATGCCGCCTCATCATGGAGTCCCCATCTGAAGAAGCATATAATGAAACTGGAAAAGGTTCAGAGGTTTGCAACGAGACTCGTCCCAGAGCTACGAGGGATGGGGTATGAAGAGCGCCTGAGGGAACTGTGCCTTACGACACTAGAAAGAAGAAGGGAGAGGGGGGACATGATAGGAACGTATAAGATGCTCAGAGGAATTGACAGAGTGGACATAGACGAAATGTTCACACGGAATAGTAACAGAACGAGAGGACATGGATGGAAGCTTGAAACTCAGATGAGTCACAGAGATGTTAGGAAGTTTTCTTTTAGCGTGAGAGTAGTGGGGAAATGGAATGCACTTCAGGAACAGGTTGTGGAAGCAAATACTATTCATAATTTTAAAACCAGGTATGATAGGGAAATGGGACAGGAGTCATTGCTGTAAACAACCGATGCTCGAAAGGCGGGATCCAAGAGTCAATGCTCGATCCTGCAAGCACATATAGGTGAGTACATATAGGTGAGTACACACACACACACACACACACACACACACACACACGGGGTTAGTGACCTGTAGCCTGCTACCTGGACTATCCTCACACATACACACACACACGGGGTTAGTGGCCTGTAGCCTGCTACCTGGACTATCCTCACACACACACACACACACACGGGGTTAGTGGCCTGTAGCCCGCTACCTGGACTATCCTCACACACACACGGGGTTAGTGGCCTGTAGCCTGCTACCTGGACTATCCTCACACACACACACACGGGGTTAGTGGCCTGTAGCCCGCTACCTGGACTATCCTCACACACACACACACGGGGTTAGTGGCCTGTAGCCTGCTACCTGGACTATCCTCACACACACACACGGGGTTAGTGGCCTGTAGCCCGCTACCTGGACTATCCTCACACACACACACGGGGTTAGTGGCCTGTAGCCTGCTACCTGGACTATCCTCACATACACACACGGGGTTAGTGGCCTGTAGCCTGCTACCTGGACTATCCTCACACACACACACACGGGGTTAGTGGCCTGTAGCCTGCTACCTGGACTATCCTCACACACACACACGAGGTTAGTGACCTGTAGCCTGCTACCTGGACTATCCTCACACACACACACACGGGGTTAGTGACCTGTAGCCTGCTACCTGGACTATCCTCACACACACACACACACACGGGGTTAGTGGCCTGTAGCCTTCTATCTGGACTATCCTCACACACACACACGGGGTTAGTGACCTGTAGCCTGCTACCTGGACTATCCTCACACACACACACACACGGGGTTAGTGACCTGTAGCCTGCTACCTGGACTATCCTCACACACACACACGGGGTTAGTGACCTGTAGCCCGCTACCTGGACTATCCTCACACACACACGGGGTTAGTGACCTGTAGCCTGCTACCTGGACTATCCTCACACACACACACACGGGGTTAGTGACCTGTAGCCTGCTACCTGGACTATCCTCACACACACACACGGGGTTAGTGACCTGTAGCCCGCTACCTGGACTATCCTCACACACACACGGGGTTAGTGGCCTGTAGCCTGCTACCTGGACTATCCTCACACACACACACACGGGGTTAGTGGCCTGTAGCCCGCTACCTGGACTATCCTCACACACACACACACGGGGTTATTGGCCTGTAGCCTGCTACCTGGACTATCCTCACACACACACACGGGGTTAGTGGCATGTAGCCTGCTACCTGGACTATCCTCACACACACACACACGGGGTTAGTGGCCTGTAGCCTGCTACCTGGACTATCCTCACACACACACGGGGTTAGTGGCCTGTAGCCTGCTACCTGGACTATCCTCACACACACACACACGGGGTTAGTTTCCTGTAGCCTGCTACCTGGACTATCCTCACAAACACACGGGGTTAGTGACCTGTAGCCTGCTACCTGGACTATCCTCACAGTACACTTAAGGAGAGTACACTGTACAGTACACTTAAGGAGAGTACACTGTACAGTACACTTAAGGAGAGTACACTGTACAGTACACTTAAGGAGAGGACACTGTACAGTACACTTAAGGCGAGTACACTGTACAGTACACTTAAGGAGAGTACACTGTACAGTACACTTAAGGCGAGTACACTGTACAGTACACTTAAGGAGAGTACACTGTACAGTACACTTAAGGGTGAGGTAGTTAAGTATAACCAGCGGAAGTAACGAGGCCACATCATGAGAGGTTAACCAACAGGAGTCACGAGGGTTTAAGTCAAATACTGACTTATTAAGACCCACATAAGTCAATATTTGACTCACGACACACTTGACCATTAACTTGGGTACTGGAGTTATAACTTGAGGCCGAGGGTGTGTGGGCTACCGTACCTGGGATTGTGTTGACGTTGTCATCGTACTCCTCCTCCTCCTCCTCCTCGACCTGGTACTTCTTCTGGTACTTGGGCGGCTGTTGGTAGGTCTCCGTCTCGGGGGCCGGGTACCTGGAGACAGACAGGTACTGTACAGAGACAGACAGGTACTGTACAGAGACAGACAGGTACTGTACAGAGACAGACAGGTACTGTACAGAGACAGACAGGTTGTGTACTGTGTCCTTCTCTTCTCTCTTGACTCTATGTCTTGCTCTCAATTAGGAACAATATTTGTGCTTTCCAGCTTCCAGTGGTGTGTACTGGAACTGTGGAATGCTTAAGCTTGTACTGTACTGACCTGAAACTGTACTCAAAATTTACTTCAATTACACAATTTTAACTTGAGGTGGTAAAACCCCTTTAATCAGCACGTGAGATTGAGTGCAGAGTAACTCACTATACACTATGGCAGCTGCTCTTGAACCGTGTCCCTGTAGGACACATGCGACTGTGTATGCTGGCTAGCACTGTATGTGTGGGCCGCGTCTTAGGTAGAAAAACTAATTTTAAAAAAGTTACTGAAAAATATATAACCTCTTTTATTTCATTTACATGTGATTGCTCAGTATTTGTATCTTTTTTACAAATAAAAAATGACCAGTATTACCTTGACTCCTCTTGATAGGTCTTGGGGGGTTCTCTGTAGGCCTGGGGAGGCTCTCTGTAGGCCTGGGGAGGGTCTCTGTAGGCCTGGGGGGAGCGGCCTCTGGGCGACTGGGGGAAGCCTGCGACTACACACGCTCCCAATATACCTGTGGACGTACACACCTCAGACACTAGTATTATCACACTCACACGCACAAGCCCACACACACACACTCACACCTACACTTCAGAGAGCAGCAACACAGAATGAGAGCAAAACTACTTGTCATGATTGACCAACATGAGGGAGAGATTGACTAGGACTCGAGAAGTGCCCCCGGTGGGGAGGGGACGTGGGGGTCTCCTCACTCCAGGAGGTGTGTGTGGAGTGCAGCTGGTTGCTGGGCACCGACCTGTGGTGAAGTTTACCTCTGGGGGAGACTACCGGGATGTTGTGGAGAAGTATGGTGGCTGCTCCATTCAGCTCCCTGATGGTGGCGGAAGCGTGTCGGTGTCCGATCATTGTGGGTAAACTACCAACGTTACAGTGCATTGGGCGCCATATGAGTTCTCCGACGACCTCCTAAGTCAGTACTTTTCCAGATCTGGGCGGGTGCTGAGTGTCCGCCGGAACATCATTTCTTCTGGTAGATGAGCGGGTGTGCTGAGTGGAACCCTCACGTTGGCCAGGCGCCTCACTACTCCTGTGTTGTCCTCGGTTATGGTGTCCGCGTGTTCTAGGCGGGCCAACCCTGGCCCTGTTTCCCGTGCTGCTTCTCGGGTCACCAGGCTGCTGCGCGGCGTGGTGAGCGTGGCCTTCACCCTCTCAACCTTTTTCCGGAAGGACAGAAGGAAGATTTTCCCCCACTGGCGGCCCCCCCCCCCCCCAGACTCCTCTCTCTGTCTCTGTCCTGATGTCGTGTATTCACCTAGTTGTGCTTGCGGGGGTTGAGGGCAAGCAAGCGTCCTGTAGGCTTGCTACAGGGATCGTGCGGTGTGTGCTCCTGTGCGTCCTCCCGGGACTGGCCGGGAGTTCTGGTGAGGCGCCTCCAGGGGCCGACAGTTCCCATGACCCGTACAGGGGGGAAGGTCGACGTGACGGAGGCCGCCGTGAGGCCTGTCCCGTGTCGGAGGTCCGTGAGCGACCGGCCTCCTGTGTGGGTGGGGCGAGTGGGGGCTTTCGACGACTTGGAGACTCCAGAGCCTATGTAGCGCCCTCCATAAGCTCTGGAATTTAGCCATACTAAATGGGATTGGGTGCTCTGGGATGTGTACTGTCTGTGGTATCCTAAGGCTGCATTTCTGCATAAATATCTGTAGAGCCTTGCCTTGCTCTGCTGTATTTACTCTGCTGTGTTTGTACGTGTGATCTGCGTCCCCGTGTTCGGTAACTGAGTGTAGTTATGTTTCTGTTATTGTTTTACGTTTTGTGTTCCCCGTGTACTTAACCGTGTTCCCCGTGTACTTAACCGTGTTCCCCGTGTACTTAACCGTGTTCCCCGTGTACTTAACCGTGTTCCCCGTGTACTTAACCGTGTTCCCCGTGTACTTAACCGTGTTCCCCGTGTACTTAACCGTGTTCCCCGTGTACTTAACCGTGTTCCCCGTGTACTTAAACGTGTTCTTCTGTACTTGTGCTAAGTTTTGTAATGTGTTTGTTGTTGTGTTTTGTGTTGTGGGGTCCGTCGATGTCTTATATTTGATTGTACTTATATATCAGGCCGTTGGCATGTATATATATAACAAACAAAACAAAAATACGAACATAAGAAGAATATCAGAAAAAATTGACTATAAAACTGAATTCGAAACAGTTACTACACATCCATATGAGAAGTGTCAGTGAATGTCCCAGTGACCAGATCACCCCAGAGTGGGAGGACACCGTCATATGTCTATCCTGGGAGAGACAGGTGTACCTGGGAGAGACAGGTGGGGGGGTCTGGTGTACCTGGGAGAGACAGGTGTACCTGAGAGAGACAGGTGTACCTGGGAGAGACAGGTGTACCTGGGAGAGACAGGTGTACCTGAGAGAGACAGGTGTACGTGGGAGAGACAGGTGTACGTGGGAGAGACAGGTGTACCTGGGAGAGACAGGTGTACCTGGGAGAGACAGGTGTACCTGGGAGAGACAGGGGGGACCCAGTTAGAGTGGTACTCACAGACAGCGGCGGCAGCTCTCATGGTGACTGGTAACTGAAAGGAGAACACACAGTTAATGACACGTTAATGATGAACACAACATGTTCATGCAGTCTTTGACACACGTGTTGACTCAGTGCATGGAGCCGTGCATGGAGCCGTGCATGGAGCCGTGCATGGAACCGTGCATGGAGCCGTGCTTGGGGCCGAGCATGGGGCCGTGCATGGGACCGTGCTTGGGGCCGAGCATGGGGCCGTGCATGGGACCGTGCTTGGGGCCGAGCATGGGGCCGTGCATGGGACCGTGAATGGAGCCGTGCATGGGGCCGTGCATGGACCCGTGCTTGGGGCCGTGCACGGAGCTGGGAGCACCACAAGTGCTGCTCAACTTTCTCCCTGGTGCAGGTGTTGTTGTGGCGTCAGCTGGTCCTCCGGCCCCAGGCACCCCTCCCTCACTAACCTCCCCAACCAGCTCCTACCTTCCCCCTGCCCTCTCCCCCTCCCTGTGTCTTCCCCTTCACCACACTTCCCTTCCAGACTACCAGATGCTGCGCCAGAAATAATCATACATTTATGTATGTGAAACAGAATGTGTGTCGAGAGCAGGAGGCCAGAGGCATACGGGTAGCCTCGCCAAACATTACAGCAGGAAACATGGGGGTGTGTTGGTGCCAAGGGCCAGTCAGGGGTCGGCCCCAGTGCCACCGTGTAATGATAGCCGGATACATTGCCACCACCATAATTTTCATTAACTATGAAATAAACTCGGGCATGTGTTTTCCATAGAGTTTGACTGCATTCTGCCAGTTTCTGTGAGAGAGTTGGGTTACCGTTACCTGTGGCAGGTGGCTGCAGGTGACGGGTCTCCCAATCCTGAGCACTCCAGTTGCAAACTCTGTGAGCAGGAACTACGGCATGATCTCCCACACTACATCACTGAATGCCCAGTTATTAGACCTTTCACACCAGTTGGCATGAGGTACCTGGAGCTTTGCAATTACTTTATTCACTCTCGTATTCTTGAAGATATCCTCACAGTATACCCAAAATTTGCCAGTGCAAGCTATTAAACATATGGCCCTGTATGACTAACCATCCTGCGAGATGGGGACTTGTATTACCACTGCTGCCTTATTCAATCTTGTGTTGATGATATCCTCAAAATGCATCCGGAGTCTGCCAGTGCAGACCGCTTATCACATGCCTCTGTATGACTAACCATCCTGTGTGATGGGGAGTTTTTAGCATCACCTAGTTAGCTTTTTTTGACACACTGTACTCCACTTCATATAGTCTAGGGCAGCTGCACAAATGCAGATGTACCTAATGTGTTAATAAAAAAAAAATCTGTGAGAGAGAGAGTAGGGAAAGGGAGGGAGGGAGAGGTGAAAAGGGAATTGAGACGGGGAGATGGGTGAGGTTGGGAGCCTGGGTGGGGGGGGGGATGTTTGGGGGAAAACTTTAGTTAATTAGTAGTTAGTAACAGTTGATTGATTGACGGTTGAGAGGCGGGCCGACAGATCAGAGCTCAACCCCCGCAAGCACAACTAGGTGAGTACAACTAGGTAATTACACACACACACACACACACACACACACACACACACACACACGATGGCTGGAAAGACGGGATCCAAGAGACAATGCTCGATCCTGCAAGCACAAATAGGTGAGTACACACAAAGCAGCCCGTAGCAGCTGTCTAACACCCAGGTACCTATTTACTGCTAGGTAACAGGTGCATCAGGGTGAACAAAACTCTGCCTATTTGTTTCCGCCTCCGCCGGGAATCAAACCTAGGCCACTCGGACTAGGACCTCCTAGCGCTGTCCACTCAGCCAGTGTGAGAGTGTGAGAGTGAGAGCGAGGCGCCACACTGGAGCGTGAGCCAGGAAGTGGGAGCAACAGCCAGGTGCCTCCCAGGGTGTTGTGAGCCCTCTGCTGCCTCACTGTGTGCTGCTGACCTGGGGCAGGGGGGGGGGAGAACAGCAGGGAGGGAGGGGGGGAGAACAGCAGGGAGAGGGGGGAGGAGAACAGCAGGGAGGGAGGGGGGGGGAGAACAGCAGGGAGGGAGGGGGGGGGGAGAACAGCAGGGAGGGAGGGGAGGAAGGGAAGCACCCCCTCATCCTCCCACCTCACCTAGTGGGGTCCGTGACTAGCACCTGGAGGATCTTGCCAATAATAACTCAGGGTTGTGAGGTTTCCAACCTCACAAACTGCTTACTAAATGTAAATAAAGCCGTCGTGAGTGATGAAAGATGTACAGGTTTCGTGAATGAATCAGGAAACACAGCCTCCGTCCTCCACCCCTTCAGACATTCTAAGTCAGACGTTTCTGCCCGAAACGCTATGCGTGCTACTGGCTTTACAAGAATATATAACTTCAACTCTCTCTACTCTCATAAACCCAATAGACCTTATTGTATATAAATAAATCAATAAATAAATAAGTCCCCTGCCTCCCCTGACACACACACACTGCTCCTTCAACATACAACTTAACACTGGATTTTATACTATATTTTCCTTCTGGAGGGTGTTACAGTAACTGTCACCACACGTCACCATAGTTCACTATCACTAGCACCTCTCGACACCATAGTTCAACAACTGCACAAGTCCCCGATACAAGTGCTCAGACCACATTCTCTCTCATCACCACTCGACAGAAAACGTGTAGCAAAGCATGGGTGACTAGAGTAATGGTCCCCGGGGCGGTTCCAATCCAACGTTAACTAATTTCACGACGTTCTATATCTACCTCAGCCTAGCCTGAGAACCTCTTGGGCCAACATGTGTGTTAGCCAGCCCCCTCAGGCTGTAATCTTCCATCCAGCAGCTGACCCCAATCGTGTATTTTCTCATACATAAATTATCGTTATTATACATTAGAATTGTGTATAATTAGCTCCAGGTTAGGTTAGGTGTTTAGGTTGTGTTGGCAATTATTTGTAGGTGTAGCATCTAGGCTTTACAGAAGTGGGATTCGAACAGACGTCGTCACGAAAGCACTGTTAGAGAAATGTTCGAATGTCTTCAGTTATGGGTCGTGTGAAAATGATTTTTAATTCACAAACAAGAGTTTGGCGGATGGTTTAAAGAACATTTGACCATTGTTGATGAGGACGGGCCGTGTTGATGAGGACGGCCTGTGATGATGAGGACGGGCTGTGTTGATGAGGACGGCCTGTGTTGATGAGGACGGCCTGTGTTGATGAGGACGGCCTGTGTTGATGAGGACGGCCTGTGTTGATGAGGACGGGCCGTGTTGATGAGGACGGCCTGTGATGATGAGGACGGGCTGTGTTGATGAGGACGGCCTGTGTTGATGAGGACGGCCTGTGTTGATGAGGACGGCCTGTGTTGATGAGGACGGCCTGTGTTGATGAGGACGGCCTGTGTTGATGAGGACGGGCTGTGTTGATGAGGACGGGCCGTGTTGATGAGGACGGGCTGTGTTGATGAGGACGGCCTGTGTTGATGAGGACGGCCTGTGTTGATGAGGACGGCCTGTGTTGATGAGGACGGCCTGTGTTGATGAGGACGGCCTGTGTTGATGAGGACGGGCTGTGTTGATGAGGACGGGCTGTTGATGAGGACGGGCTGTGTTGATGAGGTGGCCAGCTTCCATGAGCATATTAAGAGTGTTCCTGCCGACTCACACTTACAAGACGCAATGAGGCGCATTCAGATGTTAAGATATACCTCACAATCAGGGTTGCAACCCGTTCTCGCACTTGCGTGTAGTCAATATTGGCTTATTAAATAGGTGCATATGTGACATACTAATTTATTGTGAATATTTTAGTTTACCGAGAAAAGCTTCATAGAAAACACCGACCTTACCTAACCTTCTTAGTATGTTAAGATAAGCATCTTATTGCTTCTTAATTACTATTATTACTTAACCTATACCTATAATAGGTTAAGTAATAATTGTAATAATTATTACCTATACCTATAATAGGTGCGAGAACGGGTTGCACACACACACACACACACACACACACACACACACACACACACACACACACACACACACTGGATTGTCGGAAAGCCTTTGACACAGTACCGCATAAGAGGCTGGTACATAAGCTGGAGAGACAGGCAGGTGTAGCTGGTAAGGTGCTCCAGTGGATAAGGGAGTATCTAAGCAATAGGAAGCAGAGAGTTACGGTGAGGGGTCAGACCTCCGATTGGCGTGAAGTCACCAGTGGAGTCGGTCGGGAGCCGGTCGGCCGAGTGGACAGCACACTGGACTTGTGATCCTGTGGTCCCGGGTTCGATCCCGGGCGCCGGCGAGAAACAATGGGCAGAGTTTCTTTCACTCTATGCCCCTGTTACCTAGCAGTAAAATAGGTACCTGGGTGTTAGTCAGCTGTCACGGGCTGCTTCCTGGGGGTGGAGGCCTGGTCGAGGACCGGGCCGCGGGGACACTAAAGCCCCGAAATCATCTCAAGATAACCTCAAGAGTCCCACAGGGCTCTGTACTCGGTCCTATCTTGTTTCTGATATATGTAAATGATCTCCCAGAGGGTATCGATTCATTTCTCTCAATGTTTGCGGACGATGCTAAAATTATGAGAAGGATTAAAACAGAAGAGGACTGTTTGAGGCTTCAAGAAGACCTAGACAAGCTGAAGGAATGGTCGAACAAATGGTTGTTAGAGTTTAACCCAACCAAATGTAATGTAATGAAGATAGGTGTAGGGAGCAGGAGGCCAGATACAAGGTTTCATCTGGGAGAGGAAATTCTTCAGGAGTCAGAGAAGGAAAAAGACTTGGGGGTTGATATCACGCCAGACCTGTCTCCTGCAGCACATATCAAGCGGATAACATCAGCGGCATATGCCAGGCTGGCCAACATACCAACGGCATTCAGAAACTTGTGTAAAGAATCATTCAGAACTTTGTATACCACATATGTCAGACCAATCCTGGAGTATGCAGCCCCAGCATGGAGTCCATATCTAGTCAAGGATAAGACTAAACTGGAAAAGGTTCAAAGGTTTGCCACCAGACTAGTACCCGAGCTGAGAGGTATGAGCTAC